TGGAACTACAATTTGAGCTTATAAAACGTGTGTTTTATAAGCTCAAAAAAAAACATAAACAACATAGAAGTTATTTGTCATTTGTGTTTTCCGACTTCAAACAATGATGCATGTTTGACTAATTGATTGATTCTTTGATTGATGTTAATTTCGGCTCATTGATTTCTCGAAATGCTAACTGATGATCTTTGATCAGAAATTCTCAAAAATCACAAGCGAGAAAAAAAAACATTTCTCACTTACATCGGCTACCACGCAATTTAATTTGTTCCAACAGTTATCAGGTGCTTGATTGGTTATCATGTATATAATTTTTTCAAAAATAGGAAAATTTAAATCAAATCATTCAGTTGTTCCTAAACTGCCAGCAAATCATGAACCAACAGAAAGTTTCGCTCATTTAATTGCCTCTTTGTTGTGTTTTTTTTACTAAAATGGTTAAATTCCTGATAAATATTAATATTCAATTTTGAACAAAAAAAAAAGCTTAGATTTTTTCATTAATCACAATAATTCGATACCTGTAAGAAAATATCCTTGAAAATGTGACCTGACTTCAAAATCGTTTTTATTCATTTATATTCGGCTCGCTGTACTTCCATGTACTTCCTACCTGATATGTAAATAAATGTTATGAAAAAACTCACCAATTTCTGCTACCTCATCTTTTTTTAAATAAAATTATCACTTGTGTACAAAAGCGATGCCGTTAGCCACTTTAGTATTATTCAATATTCAACATCACATCTCTAACTTCTCAACTGGCTGACCTTCAAACGATGAACTCAAGACTAATATTTTCAGCTTATTGAAAGGGATAATGCTGATGAATATTTAACACAACTATGGCCTTGACTATCCTTACTACCAGCACCAGCAAGATGTGCTGTGAGCTGCGGCGCCGCTGGTTGCGCCTCAGATGCAACCCGTGACTGTTGTTCTCCTCGCTGCCTCGGCGGCTGTTCGGTTTGTATATAGAGCCGCGCTTCTCTGTAGCCGATTATACATGCATTTGGTTGGCTTGCAAAAATAAGCAATTCTAGGTTCCGTTTAGGGTTCCAATGGGCATGTTTCCATTAATTGTTTATAATGTACTTTCGATGTTTTTTACAGCTTCATTTGCTTGTATTTAACGTATAATTTTATTCTCATCTTGGAATTTACTTTGCCGTTGGCCTGAAGCCTATGAAGATATGAATGGAGAGGCAGTCCATCTATAGACCTGGTTATTTAATGAAGGTGACCTAAATTTACTTACTTTCTCAAATTTTAAGGAATTCTAAAATTTTAATTTATTTTTCCTCTCTTCTCAGAAAAAAATTTGATGTAGAGACTGTTGAAAGATCTTTTAATGCAGGGAGTAACTTTTTCTTTTTTTCGCTACTTAAGTACCTACTATTGACAAATTCCCCAAAAATTCTACCTGCCGTATCAGCTAATATTATGTTTTTCAAAGCGTATTAGAAGCTTATTGAATTTTTATAATTAATTACAGTTGCTTTTCTCCCTAGCAATGAGTTAATAGCTCCACAAAATACAGGCTTCATCTAACTTTGTCCGTATAACTGTCTCAATTCAGTCTCTGTAATCTCTGTAATGAAGTTTGAAGTTAGTCGGCCCGTATCTGTTTTCTGATGAGCAATGGCTGGAATGCTCCAATTAGAGAAAAAATTTACGGCTTTTTCTTCTGGAATTTTCTGATAAAACTAATTAATTATCATCAGTGAAACTGAACCTGGTTTGCGTTAATTTGTATCGTTGAGCGGTGCTTGGGCGCCGAGGTGTTGTTTAACAAACGCTCGTGTAGAACTTGTGTAGCTGGCAATGTTGTAATAAGTAAACTTGCGAGCTTTAATTTCGACCTAATTTGTGAGCCTCCTCAATTGATTGAAATTATTTTATTCAAGAATTCTTTGCGTTGTTATGCAAATTAATCATTTATAAATGCACGCGCTCAGTAAATAATGATTTTTTCATATTTTTATGTATAATTCTTATTTGTCATTTATTTTTAATGAATAGCAAGATGAAATATTTTGGCTTGCTGAAGTTCGACAAATGATTCTGCTGTGTAAACAAAGTATGACAGCACAGCAAAGGTTTTTAGGAGGTTGGCTTGCTTTTTATTTTCTCTTTTTTATTCGGCTTGATTAATGATATTGGCGCGTGTCTCAATGTCAACACGCAAATTAGTTTTCACTGTTTCTTTAACCCAGGAGTGTTAAGCCTCAGCATTTACCAAAAAAAATTTACATAAATAAACTCACTTAAGATCATCAGACTGCGACCAAACCATCTCATAGCACACTCCAGCTGCAGTTCTTGAAAAATTTAAAACCATCTATCAAATAAACTTTATCAGGGATTAAATTCTAGCACCGGAACTGGCCAGGCACTTGCGCGATATTTAGGAATTCGATTTTCCATCCAAACAAGTACGGCGTCAAGGTTTATGCCAGCAATTAGGGAAGTGGTCGTATAGCCTGAGGCGGGAGCCATAAGGAGCCCGTGAAGTTGCGCGTGATTTAGCGCATCATTTATTGTGAAGCCTTTCTCATTTACATAGAAATACAAGGCTACATTTCCGTAGGTGATGTGCTTTGTGGCCTCTCTGGCTTACCTTAATATGACCCTCGTACACTTCTCCCTCAGCGCCACCGCTCGTGTCTCCATCCCCTCACCGCGCCGGCCGTAAGGGGTGAGTGTGGAGTGCTGTGATAAATGTGAAGTATTATATTATAGGTGGCTTCTCTATATGGAGTGTCATAAAATCAAATCACACCATCGAAAGTAGCAATGATTATCACTTGTTATTCACTCTTGGATGAATGGCAGTCATGCATTGGAACTTTCATGATGTATGAATTTTAGTGAATATTATACCTACATATTTTAAGATGTCTGAACATCCATCAACATGTATAATTGAAATGTACATGGATTCATATCCATCAGATCAGGTTCATGGATTGATGAATTGTTAAAATTATTAAGCATAATAATATCATTTCCTTTCTAACACTTTAAACAAGTTATTTCATTTGTTGAATGAACAATGGTTTGCCAGAAATTGCACATGATTTCAATAATTATAGCAACAAATACTATTCGTAGCTGAAACAACTCTATCAGATACATTTGTTACACACGATTATCGCAAGGTGCTCAAAAAATTGAACATTTGTGCAGCATTTATGTTTGGCCAAGTTAAGAAAAGAAGTGAACGTTACTTTCCGCTCTTCAGGCTGGGGATGATTCAGGCTCCGAACACTAAAAGCTAAATTCATGAACTCATGTGTGAAGTCAAATTCCAGTTGTTAAGCCGGTCATACAGAATAAATTTTGAATGCCACACACCCTTTATTGTCCATTTTCGATTTGATTCAAATCCTGTTTAACCATTTCCATTACCACAAACCTTATTTAATTTATTTCAGAAAAGAAATTAGCTTTTATACGAGGTATTGACAAGAGGTGTTGACAATCTGTGGCTCTGCTTCATCAAATTCAGTGTTTAGATGATTAATTTTTTACGAGAAACGATTTTTTAACGGTTCAGTTTTTAATAGTTTTTAATTACTAATTACTTCTAATCAATAGAACTGCACCGTTTGTCCACCAAATCGTGAGAAATTAATGCAGTAACATTATTAGTTTGACATTACTGAAAAACTTGTCATACATTCTTTAGGAAAATTGACTCTCGGGAATCCATTTGCTGTGTCAAAAACTAAACTACTATAACTTCATACCATTGAACTTGCTCGGTATTATTCCCAAAGAATTTCCATCATGGTTTCCCTGTAAATCTTCTGATAAATAAGCTACCCGTATAGGAAATGACTTTATCATCCGCGGAGGACCGCTGCGGTAAGCAATTTTCCAACTTGCCTGATTTGTGCGGGCTGTTCTATTGAATCTAAGGCGGTCAGAATGATTGAGGAGTCGCGTATACACAAGACTTCGGCTTCAACAGAACATATTTTTTCCCGCTTGCAAAATCGTTTTAGAAGGCCTCTTTGAGGTCTACGATTTCTTCATCAGTCCCGTAATTCAAGCTTTTCTTACTACTAAAATGGACACGAACTCTTGAATGCCCAGTAGTTCTGTGCTCTCGGTGATGGTTAAAGCAAATGATTAACTACTTTCCGATCTACATTTGATTCGTCACCCTGAATATCTGATTTTCTTTTCACACATTCATCAATCCATGCTCGCTGTGAATGGTGTATTTTACATACTTGTGCGACTCAGCATCACCGATCTTTTCACCTTGAATATTTACGATTCTTTTGCCAGTATTAGGAGCCTGCTTGCATACACGCTTCTGTTCAACAGAAAAACGCTGCGCTGGAGGCGAAGTTAGAAGCATTGCTGACGCCGAAGCCCTGCAAGGATGCGTCGTCATTGAAAATTTAGACATCAAATTATCCGGACAAGGTATTAGTATAGATTTAATTCCGCCTAACTCGAAATAAATTTTATGTTCACTGTATATTTTTTTATAAGACCGAATGCATTAGGCAGAGATGTTTTATAAAACTAACTATCAGGTGGAGATTTAGTTTGGAGATGGATTTAGAAACACGAAATCCTGTAATTTGGCAAAATTAGATTTAAGAAAATGTGAGATTCGTTTCATACTTCACTGACAAGATATTATTTTAGAAAGTTCAAACAAAGCATGAATTAAAAATGTATCTATTATGATCTAAATGAGACTAAAATTAATATTTAAAAATCTTATAAGATCCATCAAGTGCATGTGAACAATCTTTATCAAGTAGAATCTTAAATTTTTATTTTGTTTGCCAATTCTATACGAGTTAAAAATTGAACGTCGAAATTGAATTCCGTGGTTGAAATTTGTTCAATTAATCATGTTAATTCAGCCATGTCTTAATCTACTTGCAATTTTAACAGGAACAGAACTACAAGCCGAGCTTTCCCAGCTTCTGCTAAGCGCGAGGTCCGTGACGCGGCTGACCGTAGAGAACGTTAACCTCACTTCGCTCGAGTTCTTGGAAAATCTCACAAGCATCGGACCACAAAACTCCGGCAACTTTCGGTAAGAACTGCACAGTATAAACTATATGCTGACTCTTTACTTTCGGACATGCCAGAGACGGATTTCGTGTCTTAAAGGCATGGAATGTTTTCATGTATTCTGTAAAAAATTTTTACTTATGCTGGAGCTGGTCTCCGGTACGTTTTCATTGAAGATATGGTGAAGTCACTTGGCGTTTTCTTTGCTTCTAAATTCTTGGCGAACTATCGATCTAAGCAGAGTAGTGATATAAATAATTTATTTAGGTATTACGCGCTCTACTTTCAAATGCTGCATCCAATTCTTCCATTTCTTTCTGATTAACCACGCATAACAAGCTGTTGGCTCCACAGTAAAGGTAGGGCGTTTGGTATGCTCCACGTTGAGCTCTGCTTGCCACGTGTATCGGAATGGCCAGTCATGTATTGCGTACTGTTCCATCACGTGTATTGTACTCGTGATGGCCAGTCGTGTATTACGTACTGTTCCACCACTTGTAATATAATGGCAGGTCACGAATTGTGTAATGCTCCACCTCGTGTAATGCAACGGCCATTGCACACTGGTGCAATGATTATATTATGTGCATCAAGATTATACCTAGTGTATCGTATTGTCTAAATACCACACACGTAATGGTATTTGAATACCTAAATAAATACGCGTAATGCTAAATCTCTAAATTCAGGATTTTGCGTACATTCTATATTCGTACGCAGAATGGTCCATGGTTCTCTATCGCAAAATCAGAGTGAATTCAGAAATTAATTCGCATTAACTCTGCAACTAATTCTAACACACCGTGATTCAGTGATCGCACTTTGTATAAGCCTGCAGTGAACTGCAGACACAACGCCCCCGAAAATAAACCCTTTGTATCACCTGGGACGCGTCTGGCATCGCGCTGGATGAAAATGTTGCAGTTGCTCATGTAATTAAAATGCTTGGGGAAGGAGGCGACTAATTAGAGTCTGCGAGATGATGAAGCTTTATTAGCCAGGATGCATGCCTTCGGCTTGCTTGCAGCCCATTTCAGCGCTCGTTTATTTACCTTGGAAATCTCGTAACTTTGCTGCAAAGCAATTTCTCGGCAGAGCAATACAGCCACGGCAAATTACTGGTGTAATGCCAGCCGTATTGCACCGCGACTTACAGCGTATGAAGTACATCTTGCAGTACAGGTTGGAGCACCTGTGGTCGGGCTTGGAGCGATTGCAGCAAAGTATGAAACGCTCACCGCCTTTCACCAATCTTCGATTATTTCTTAACAAATGAGCGCCATTTACAGAGATGCGTCATGAATGAATTAATTGATCTAGTTGGTATATAGACTTTCATTTAACTATTACTCGATCTACTCGATCTTTCATTACATACCGACAATGACAAAGAAAATTATTTATTCCATCATCCATCAGTCAGTAAATTAACAAATTAATTCTGCTGCGATATAAAATGATGCAACTTCATCAGGAAGAAACGATCGCAATGGCTGGTAAAACTTGCAGAAGGTTTGGGATTACCGATCGAGAAAAATATTCCTCTTGGACAAGGAATAAAAGCACGGGAAGAAAAGTATGCTAGAAGAGTTTGTACGTAGCTACCAAATTTTCAAAACTAAAATTAAGATGTTACGATAACAGTGCAGAACCGTACTAAATAGGTGTGTTTCTGCACTACCATTCATCGTATTCTCTTAATGAAATCTTTAAATTGTTCATTCCTGTTTCGATGTCACAACCTCTTTTAATGTCGCAGCCACAGCCGCTAAATGAGCGTTACAGTTTCTGCCAGCAAGGCCAATTAGCGTCTTTTGAGCCGTCTTGCAAATACTGTTTCTTTTTATTAGCTGCCTTGTGATTCAGGCATCGGAAAAGTTAAGTAATCTCGACGATTAAATGCGCGGAGTTTCTAACGAATTTTTCTGCGAGAAACTTGTGCGTTGAGGGCGACGTTATCATCGCGTTGCACAAGTTTTAAGGCAGTTTGGCTGTATTTCGTAGTGAAATTAAGGAACGAGTGGGAGACTAGTTTTTGAAATTCCTGATTGTTTTGCGCATTTATAATTTATGCTATCAGTATTAAGTGCCAAACAAGGATTCCTTCTTTAGATGGGTCATTAAATAACTGAACCTTTGAGCAAATCTTTACTATCGTCATACTCATGTAGCCTGATGTAGAAAACACAAGATTTCATATTCGAGACTACCGATGAATTTGGCCGCGTTTAATAACAAGTAAAGTTTCGTGAAAACTCCATTGAGCAAATACTTTTTGATAAAACATTGATAATCAATAAAATTAAACGCTCTATGAACTATTTGAAAGCTTTTTAATCTGTATACTGTTCAAGTGGAAGTGGCTTTTTACTCATGATGGTTTTTGGTTTCAATAAAATAATAAAAGCTTTTGTCTGTAGCTCCTTTGCTACTCTTTTACGGATATTGTTTGATATTATGTACGCAAATATTGATTACAAAATAAAATTTTGGTACTATAACAGTAAATACCGGTTATTTCTGCCATCAGCCCTGGTTCAGTGGTTTTGATGGTGAAGAACACGAGACTCGAGTCGCTGCCCAGCACTTGGGAGAAGTTGACGCTCAGAGGCACCGCGAAGTTCATCGACAACCTCAGGCTGTGCCTCAACCAAATACATCGCTTCACATCCAGACTCGGTATGACGGCACTATATTATCAAAAAATATATAAATTCACTTTTTTCTTTAAATGATATAAGAGATGAAATATATAGATCTATATTCGAGTTTCGGTCATTAGCCAGACATTTAAGATTGGTAACATTACCGGACAGGGTTTAGGAATCCGGAAAAATTGCGTTCGGTTATATACTCTGTAATTAGTTTGTACTTTAAAACCAAACGCAAAAACAAATGAACCACATTACCGGACATTCTAGAAAACGCCAATCTTGTTAGGATATGTTTAAAGGTAGGGTTAGATGTGTTTAAAACACTTATTTACGTTGCTAGCACCGTTCTACAGAGTGTTAGGTCCAGCCAGGTTAAGTTTTTTTAACCTTTTCATATATGGACATATGACTTTCTTATGATCAAATGATCTAATTGAAAGCAGTTTATTCATGTATTTCTCTTGTTGTGTGTAAAAATTTATGCTTTGCTCTTGACCAATTTAAATCCATCATGAACACGAAAAAAGTGTAAGCAAAAACATTACTGTTTTTTCTTCAATTATTCTGGTATCTTGTTTCCAATTCCTCTTATTTAATCTCCCACGTAATCCAAATTGGCTCAAAATTCAAATAACTTTAATTATTTTACGAGATTGTTGACGCACTTTTTGAAATCCGGGTTTCTGATGCTAATAATGTTTCAACAAGTAATTTTGATGAACAGGTACTAAATTTAACTAAAAAATGTTACCGTATATGTAAATCATTTATCAGAAAAATCACTTTGCACTGAACAATATATAGAAACAGCAAAAGAAGTTACAATCAAATTCCCAATGAATTCAGAGTTGTTCACGTAATATTTTATCAAATAAATTAAAAATAATTAATCTTGGACAACATTCATGTTTTTCAATGACAATAAAGATCAAAGTTAAATAAATATCAAACGTACGGAATCGTTATCGAATTATCGTTACAATCTTTGCGGAATTACTGAGGAAGTTAAATACTCGTACGATCTTCCGTGGAGTGGTTTCATACATTTCAACTGCAACTAAGTTAAGTTCTTTCGAAATAAATCAAATAGGTAAACTGAATGAGACCTTATTTGGCAAACATGAATATAATTGACTGGTAATATTTTGAGCAGGAAAAAATTATTTATTAATTTACCCAAATGCCAAATTGGTACTGAATAATTAGAATTAGACTGCCAATGCATTGCCTGGACGAAGCTCTTATTTTGGTCAAGAAATAAGCAGTTACGCGCAATAATAAGGTATTTTGTCAGATAAATTATGGATTGAATCACACAAATTAGCTGACAAACAAAATAATTGTTTCACTGCCGTTCACAAGTGTTTCATATCATGTTTTCTTAGGCTGCCGCTGTCATTTAAATTTAATAATTGGTTTTGCTACCGGTTTTTAGCGCATTTTCTCATTTATGAAAAAAATGTGCTATTGTGCTTGTCATGTCCGTCCGTCCGTCTGTCTGTCTGTCTGTCTGTCTGTCCGACCGTGACTTCACGAAATCGTCGACGAGAAAATACGCTCTCTGTCACTCACTGCAGTGAGTACTGAGTTATATCTTTTTATAGACGTACTCAACATCAGCGTTGTGCAAGGACAGCTCTACGGGACGATTGAGGTGACGTTGCTGCCCCACAAAGACCAAGCTCAGGATTTTGATGATGGCGAGTGCGTCGAGGCAGGCGGCGCGCGATGCTCCTACACCGTTCACTTCATTCCTAAGAATGAAGAGAATCGTAGAAAAAAATTCAACGCATTGGAGTTTTTACTCATTGGAGAACTTTGACTCAACGAAACTAGTGTCAATTTATATTTTTAAATCCTTTTCCGATCTACATTGTAAACAAGTGACTGAGCCTGAAATGTTTCTTTGCTTGTATGCAAGAATCCCCAAGCATGGTTTGTATCTGAGAAAAGTCTGATTGTGTTTCATTCTGACTCCCTTACAGTGCCAAGCTCACAATGTCTAGTCATAAGTCATCGTTCATCATCCGTGCATTACTCTGGACGAAATCCTTTAGAGAAACTAACGTCTTTAGTTGAAAAGCAATAATATACGATTCATGAGTTGCACAAGCTTTATTTTCAAATGAATGTTACTATATAAACTTTAGAAAAGATATGAATTAACAACTGATTATCTTTGTAAACTAGTTGCAATTCTTACATACGAGAATTTGCAATAAAGTTGAATTCGGTGTGTTGAAATTTGAAACAAAATTGAAATTCCTCGATCTCAATGAACCTGCGCTGTGATCGTGTCAAATAGACGGTCGCTCCCTAGGCAGCTAAAGATCCTTCAATTTATTCACAAAATTTAAGTCCTCAAACATGTAAACTATTACCTTCAATTTATTTAAAATTTACTGATACCTTGATTAGTATATTTTTCCAGTCCAAATCTGCATCAATGGCGGCACACAGTTAATACGACCAATAAGTGAGGTGAATTTTCGGAAGCAACATATAGCTAGAGTCATGTTGATATAAATTTTTGCCTCGAACATTTCCGATATTTTTCAATTACATGTCATAAGACATAATCACAAATTTCGGTCTTGAATTTTTAATTTCTAAGGTTTACCAAATTGACTGAATCAAATTTTCCGGTCCTGCATTTGGTCAGCTGTTTGAAACGACGTACAGTTCAATGGAGAATTTTGCGTATTTCAGAAACCCTTTCCTGTCATCTGAAATTAGTGCTGCATTAAGGATTATTGCTTCAGGGTCCTGCGTAATTGCCAGATTAAGAGGCGCGTCACGTCCATGGACCTCTCATCTCGCTTGGATTGCACTTTACTTCCTGCCTTCCTATAAATGAAGCGGGTGTGTAATGTCCATACACGTGGGAAATCTTGTCATCACCTCGCAAACTCGGACACGATGTTACAAAAATATTTGAATTTAAGTTTTCATGTTTCTCAGTTTTTTTGCAAGCTCGTTATGATAGCTGCTTACCCAGATCGCCCTTTCGGCTCGGCGGAGGTTTTTTAGGAGTCTTATTTCTGTATTTTTATGCCTTATATACGACTCTTCCGTTCATTTGTGCGCAGATAGACATATATTTGTAATCTTCATGAATATTTATTCCTTGCTGCGTTAATTTTAGTCTTTGGATGCTGAATTTGAGTCGTAAACTTCAAATTTTTTCTTGCCTAATGTTTTGGTCCGTTGGATGTGACACTGAGAACGACTTGCGGTAACCCCCTGCAGCAAAACCATGAACTCGCAACGAAAGTGTTATCCTACCGTCAAGTCACTACATTTTCCGAGTCACGAACACTATAGTAGTGTTTTTAATCATGCTACCACAACTTGATTTTGACGTCGTTGAGAACACTTGAGTATGGTTTATGATGATGAAATCATAACTTGAAGTTTGTAACCGCCAAGAACGCTCGATTGGAGTTTTTAAACATGCCATCACAACTTGAAGTTCATAACCGAGAAGAATACTTGATTGAAGTTTGTTAATATGTCATCACAACTGGAAGTTTGCACCGGCAAGAACACTAGAGTAGAGTTTGTAAAAATGTCATCGCAACTGAAAGTTTGCACCGGCAAGAACACTAGAGTGGAGTTTGTAAAAATGCCATCACAACTGAAAGTTTGCACCGGCGAGAACACTAGAGTGGAGTTTGTAAAAATGTCATCACAACTTGAAGTCGACTGCGCTGAGAACACTTACTTAATTTGGGTAAATTGGCATGGTCAATGTCAAAACGTATTTTTATTTCATGTTTAAGCGAATCAGATATATAAAGTTTTCTAGAAACCATTTCCGCATGTTCGCAGTGTCAAAGGCTTTTTCTTCTCCATTAACTTGATGCAAGTTCTCACTTTATAACCATTGAAAAATTCAGCGATAGCATTAAGATGATCTTCACAATACCAGCATACAAATCCTAGCTCGAATAACAAATTACAACGTACAGCTCAGCTGCCCAAGCTCCATGAAAGGCATGAGCGAAATGACCGAGACAGCAATTGCCACACTGCGAACAATCTTTCTTCTTCCCAGCTCGGCTTAAACCAGGATTTAGTTTGAAGTGTCTTGGACGTAGCAATGTGAACTCTCATGATCACCTTGAGAGACGAGCAAAATTTTCTTGCGCTTGATCTATTCTTCAAACACGTTGAATGAATGAATTGGTTGAAGCCGTGAAAGGTATATTTGCCGAAGCAATCTTTCTATAATCAGAGTGCTACCATTGATCCAAACCACCGGGGTAAATTTTAATTTATACAAGTTACAGTTTACTTTTTTTTTAATTTTTCTCTTTTATCAACTTTTGGGAATATCAGAAGAACAAGCGCGTATCCTTCTTAATTAGATAAATTGGCCAACCGCAAGTGGCTATATGTAAGTTCAGTTGTTTGCCGATAAAATGTATATAAAAACATGACTACACGACTACATGTGCGAATACACTCGCATTATTGCTGTTCTGATATGCGCATGAATATACCACTGTTGTCGATATTAACAGCATCGGTGTGGATTAATGATATTTGAGTAAAAAAGTAGCAAAAAAGGCTCACATGAGTGAAATAATGTCGTCATGGAGCAGACAGTGCTTCGCAAATACGTTCATTCGGAGGGGATTATCACATGTTTGGCAAGGGGTGATCTTGATGGCAGGGCGCACTGAATTCCACGCAGTTATACGCTTGATGGTCCAGCTCGGGCGTATTTGCAATGCAGAGTCCCAGGGCCGTCAATTAAAGTGAGAAGCAAAAGCGCCACCACCATCAATTATTACCGCCTGAAACATTGTGCTCTTTGAGCGGCGATTTACACCTCTATATTAGAATTGCAAATACTCTCAAATGGTCGCAGTGGTCGTCAACTTTTTAATGTAATCGTTGGACCTCACCCTCTTTTTCCCTCAGTCTTTCCCTCTTTCTCTTTTGTAGCCGCTTTTTTCTTTCTATTTTGTTCAAACAGCATAAGCCTGACCTCGAAAATTTATTAATTCTGCCATAATTTTGTGATATCAATTGAAAAGATTTCTGCATTGCAACGCATGTGGGCGATTAAGAGTCAATCGGAAATACTGGTTGATACACACTGTAGACTATTTATTCTCTTGCAAATTTGCACTCCAGGACGTGTAAAGTTCTGCTCTGGCAAACATAGACTATTTGTAACCTACATGCAAACATTGTTCGAGCGACCAACGCAAAGTTGTAATAATACGATACGAAAAAAATTTGCATGGCATATAATTTGTGTATTTGTCTTTCACGTGTGGAATTGGCATACCTGATCAATGGCTTTTTAACTTTGGTTAAACATTTGTTTCACATTATGCAATTTTTACATGTTATTTTCTACTCCGCTAATGACGATTGTACATAGTGAGTTGCGAAAAAAAAAAAATTTTGAGCTTAACTGTAGGTCAACTTCATCAAAATTGGAATGCCGCTCCAAAAATTAGTGCTGCTTTTCTTTTAAATCACCATTATCATAGAAAGGCATGTTATTTAAAAGAATTGTCAATACAAACAACTTTACAATGTTCTCTCTCGCAGCTAAAAAAATCCTGGGACCAGATCACATAACGTGCAATTACAAAAAAATAGTAACAGGCTCTGTAAATTCCTCACTCATATCTATAATTACATCCAAACAATTTATTATCTATATTATGATAATTTGATTGTTTGGTTTCGTAATATTTTTCCTGCCAGATTCTAGGGTAGCATGACCTGTTTCAGAGAATTTTAATGTGTGGCAAAGAAACACTATTGCTCTCGCTCTACTGCCCATCACTTTCTATATTTCATACATGTATCTTTGAATTAAATTACTTTTCAGCAAATGCGCATGCATGCTAGAAATCGTTACAGATGTCTTATCGTTTGTTGCTTAACTTCAATAGAAAGTGTGCATTTTTCTATATTCCGGCTGCGGCTCTCGTAAATTGCTACCGCATTCGTTTTCAAAAGTCACTATTCTGAATAAATTTCAATCTTTTACATCTCAAAGCTATTCTAGATTTGTCATAAAACTGCTATGAAATATCAATCTTAGAACTGCGTATATATTAAACAAGCACAATACTGTTTTGTACTGTATCTCACACTTACATTAATGCTTCATAAAGTCCCGGAAATTATTCATGTCGCGGCAAGTCAAATTTATTCATTGTTTTAATGTCACATTAAACACAAGCAAATGTCGCCACCAAACCGTCTTGCTGCTGTTGTAACTCATTGCGATGAATTCGGTAAATTCATCGTAATTTGCTGCTCATTGCGATGAATTCTCATCGGTAAAGAATCATCTCGGTCGCCTGTTCCTATAAACCTTCATCAACCTAAAAAAGTTGAAAATAATTTTCCTATTTCTTTTGACACTCATATATATTGTTGTTGTTTTACGACAGGCATCATCATGATCATTTTCACTTCAATTACTTCTTTTGGGGATATGAATGCATTAATATAAGAATATTACTTTTTAATATAACTACTTATCCATCGTAATTTTTTGCATTTATCCATATAATAGTATTCAAAATAATCGTAGTTATTAAAATATTCCAGCTAATTTTATAAATACCTGGCATTCTGACAATTTCTTCATAACCTATGAATCGATTTTCTTTCATGAATGTTTTTATGCCAGGTTTTGTGA